ATACAGATACAAAATTGTCCTTCATTTATATCACCTTTTGTCCTTCAGTTTTGTCAGAGATGGGTATTCCATTGCCATCAAAATATTGTAGGTGCATGAATTCAGCAAAATATCCCAACACAGTCCAGTACTCCATAATAGTAGTGGCTTATCCACAGGACTGGCTGTGTCTGAATCTGATGACTTCAGCCTTCCACAGCTCAGCATATTAACATGACTTCACTTTTTATACCTTGTTTCTCCACTTTTTTGCTGGATGGTTAAGACCAAGATAAAAAGAGACCTATGTAACAAAGAATGTAAGTTTTGTATCTGACATGGTCAGTCAAGTCCCCTCAAGATTTATCTCAAAACCCTGCACCACTCTTTGTAGATCCTTTGTCAGTGTCAGCCATGTAGATGAGTCACAGTCATTGCCTGACCAAAAAAGCTAGGAAATATGATGGGGCAAAGCCATACATTTATACATACAAGATGGGTAAGGCAATGATCCTGAGAACTATCAGCAGGTTGTTGAAACTAGCAGTTACTTGGTGAGATTCTCACCCTGACTAACTATATATGCTGATACATGTGAACTGAGCGACTGCATCGAAGATAGCAATGTGTAATAGTGGGGTCATGCTTGGAATGCCTGTCATTCTGGTCTTCTAAATGCATACTGCTTGTCATGACATACCAAGTATGGCCAGATTGTATCTCAAGTATATTTTTTAAGATGTTCCATCTTATGCCTAAGATGTTTGATATTCAGACAGATAGTGAGGTTAAACCCACCTGCATATGTTGTAGGGCAATAATAAGCTTCTCTTCTGGAGGGTTAATGCAACACTTCAGCCTCATAGTTTTCTGAGTTTTCTTCTTAGCCTTTACACACACAACTGCCCTCCCCACATGCTGGGTGCCAGAATGCCTACGTTCATTTCTCCATGCCTTCCCTTCCCACCACCAATCTCCAAGCCCACTACCTTAGTCACCATGTTGGAAGCACTCAGTTTCGGCATGAAGTTACTTCGATGCTGCCTGCCCTTGCAACCTAATCCTACCCAGCATGAGCTATCTGAAAGCCTTTCCCTGCCTCCAAAGGAAGCCTTATAACTATTTTCTAGGCTCCCAAGAACATGCCCACACCCTACTATGAACCTTTACCAGTTTGATCCAAATGTGGCATTTATTAGATTCAGACCTCATCCTATCACCCACTCTACTCAGAAACCTATTTCTGTAGGAGAAAGTCCACATCACAGCCTCTTGCTCTCCTGACTCACCCACTGGAAGACCTCTTCAAAAGCCTTCCTTCTTGTTCTCATCCACCCAAGCTTCACAACCCACTCAGCTCCCTCTGCCCCAAGTCCCTCCTTGCCCTCATGCCTCTCCTGCCACCTCTAGGGCTGTACGTCCCCTGTCTTTCTTAGCTTCCTATCTCTCCCTCCACTCATTCAGTGGCACTGTGTGTCTGTACTGGCTCACAATTCCTGTATATCCTAACTTTCCAAAACACAAAGAAGCACAGAAAGGGGCCCATGAGATAGCTCAGTGGACTAATCACCTACTTAGGTAAGCTCAGGGACTGAGATTTGATCCCTGGTACCACATGCCACACTAGCTCCATCTCTGGGCACACTGAGCCAGCCACCAAGACCAGCATGGTGGCTCATAGCTATAATTCCAGTGCTGGAGAGGCTTAAAACAGGAGGATCACAAAGAGTCTGAGGTGTGTAGTGAGACCCTGTACCAAATACACAAAAAAATAAATCACAGACAGAAAGAAAGACATGGTTTGTAGCATTTTCCAGTTCCAATGATGTAAATACTCCGGTCACATCTTACGTCAAGCTACCAACATGCTGCTGAACGTGGGCTAAAGAGAGTACGCATACTTGGTGCTTGTGAGTTACCGTAACACAGACTGGCTCCTCCGTGCTCTGTTGGGATTTTCTTATGCTCATTTTTCCCCTTAATGTATTTAATTCCCTTCTTCTGTCACTATTTTTTTTCTAGTGTGTTTCATAAAAACTTCATTTTTCTACTAGTTTTCATCCTTGGAAGTTCAGGCCAAAGGTGATCATTGTAGAGTCCTCCTGGTCTCGAGCCCTGGCCAGATCAAGCACCTGAACACTGGCCTGTGCTGGCTGTGCTCTTTGTATTTGTGTGTGCTGGGGGTGGCAGAAATGATTTGCTCTTACTGGCCTGCCATTTACCACTGAGCCTGTCAGACCTTGGCTGGAGACAGCTCCACGTCAGTATGCAGGAAATACTCAGCAAGAACTCATTAGGGAAGGAAGGAAGAAAAGGGAGAAGGAAGTGAAAAGTGGAAGGAAGGGAGGGAGGGAGGAAACAGGAAAGGAGGAAGCATAAATGACTTCTGATGTTTGTTTTCCTCCTTTTTTAATCATAATGTAACCAATTTTTTTTGCTCCCTGCTCCAAAGCTTCCTTCTCCAAATCCAAGTGGCTAAGAAAAAAGAAACATTGCCAGTTATGTCACATATATCTTACCTTGGAAAAAACTGGGGTTTTTTGACCTTCACACCAGCTCTTTTAGTAAAATGTGGAGCCAGCCTCCGTGAGGCAGGGCGAGTGGGAAGGGAGAGTGATGATAGAAAAGAACTGGAGAAGGATTAATTCCAGCTAGGAATGTCCTCTGTTAAAGTCACATCCGGTTATGGGCAGTGAGTTAGAATCCTTGGGGATTAGCTCGTGGTGGCTCTGGATCACAAAGAGATGAGATTCCAGTAGAGGGTGATGAGCAGTAATTGGGCAGAGGTCTTTACACCGTGCTGCCAGGCGCCATGTAAACTGTTCAATGTGCGTCTCTCCTCATGACTGTGTGAGCCGTGGAGGGGCCGGCACCTCCTCCCAGCAGGATACACAGACGCGGCAGTACAGACAAATGCTGTATGTGAATAAAAGTGAAGATGGAGCAGGACCATCAATTGTCCCTTTATGGGCATCCAGCTGTTGGTGAGCTCACCCCAAACTGTAACTGCCTGGCAGGGTCATAAAGTGAGAAGGCTTTTTACTCCTGCCCTGATAAAGTGGTGTGTGCTTTCTGGGATGAAATGCAGCCCAGAACATATCACTCTAAGCACACCACATAAATAACAACATTAAAATCATGAGCACCATTACCACAAGCCATAACAACAATTAATAATGCGGGCAAACAGAGTGCAGGACTAAAAACCCACCTTCCCAACACTCTTTCAAGTTTACTGGAGAAATCTGAGTTCCTAAGAGTGATCCAATTTATCTGGTACCCAGCCTTCCAAGGCATGACCCTTAAATATGTCAACCTCTGAGGAGGAGGACAAAATTATCTGCCCACAAGCGGAAGTTGTGGTTCTGCAACATAGTTGATGACAGTCTGGGAAAAATAGGTAGACTCTTGTGGCTCAGAGTCTGATTGGTTGGCTGGGGCTTTTGAGTGGCTGGTGTTGGCTGTGGTGGGCTGTGACTGGGACGGTCCCAGAGCCCATCCGAGTGATGGAAAAGGGGCCAGAGCTCTTCAAGAGGGAAAGCAGGGCATGAAAATGGTGGACTAATGAGGAAGGCTTTCAAATGCAGATTCCAATTTCACAGGTGACTTTTTGACCCCTCAGTGCATTAAGAGAGGCACTGAGTGGAAGGATGGTGACATTCCCCCTAAAGATAATATATGGAGTGGCTTTCGGTAAGTCTTGACTAAACATATTTTATAGGGTGAACATATCATTGTAGGTGTCACTCCCTGACTCTCCAAGCAGTGATACAAATAAAGCATTTTAGACCTAGGAGCGAAAAAGAGACGTCATCTTCACAGCATACTGGTGAAGAGATCTTGGACAATGGCTAGTAAGAACTGAGGAAATTTTGCCCCTGTCATGTTTCCTAGCTTTTCTCCTTGACCTCTGTTTGTTCTTTAATCCTTAAGTTCTTGCTTTCCTTTTAATTGTGTTTGGATTATTTTGCTGAATTCACACATCTACAATATTTAAATGGCAATAGAATACCCATCTCTGAGAAAACTAAACAAAAAAGGGGATATAAATGAAGGACTAATTTGTATCTGTATGTACAAAATAGTTAGGATAGATAGACAGCTACTTTCTCTTAATTCAATGAGAAGAAAGATTTGTACTAACTGTGTTGTGGACAGAGTATCATGTCTGCATCTTATAGTATGAATAACCACTATGAAGACCACAATATGCAATGTATTAATTATTGAAACTGTCCCACTAATCAGTTTTGAAACTGTCTCATTGCTATTTGTTTTCAATAAAATTAATTAAAAATAATAAAAAAGAACTGAGGAGAAAAAGACAAAGGGTGTGGTGGGAAATAGGAAATGGCCTTTAAAAAGATTCATAAGAGGTAGTAAAGTAATTGTAAGGTAATAATACTGGGGTTATTTTATTTCATTTCCATTAGTAAGGCTGGATCCATTACTAAAATGACTCTACCACCAAGCCATTACAGAAAGATGATGGTTCTAGATGAGACTTCAGGCATGATTTTCTGGGACCATCACAGAAGTTAGATCAGTGCTAGTCTGGGTTTCTGGCCCAGTGTGTAGTCTAGATTCAAATGCGCATACTCAGAAAGAGAAGAACTCAAAACATGGCAAGAAATCTTGATCTGAATCCATTGAGGGGATATAAGATCCAGCTTCTATTTTTTAAAATTATTTCTTTCAAAGTCTTCTTCACCAGGTGTCCTATGTCCCTCTCCTTGTCTGCATTGCATGGGCCATTTCCAGAAATATTCCTGAAACTTTTAAATCTATGGCTGCTATAGCTCTGTAACACCAGCCAAGCTTCACAACTATAATCAAGGAGGCCAAAAGACTCTAATGCTATCTCACTGTACCACACACATTGTAGGTTTATCTTCTGAGAGAGAAAGAAGGTGGAAGCTCTCTTCCAATGGAATGATTTTTGACACAGTGAGAACACATAGAGTGGTGGGAAGACTTTACGACACCAAGAAGACAGAGACGAAGGGAGGGGAGAACCATACCTGCTCCGATGACCTCTTCAATTTTCACAAAAGACACATCAATTTCCTTGGCAAACTCCCGGACAGCTTCATTGGGGTCCTCATAAGTGAAGGGGTCAATGTAAATCTTCATCCCTGGGGAGCCTTAGTGGAGGAGATAAGCAGGGTTAACATCCCACAGAGGACAGAGTTGCCATTGAGCACTGCTGGTGTCCCCTGCACTGAGGCACTCCCAGGAGGGATCCTCTTACACAGCCTTCCTCTGCCTTGTCCTGTCTGCTGGACACCCCCACATTTCTTCCCTCCAGGCCACTCCAGCCTGGTTCTCTGCCCTCTACTTCTCCTCCATATATTCTTTTCTTTCTGAGTGCTTGATGAAATGTGGAACAGATTACTTATAAGTGACAGATCGGGACCAGTTCCCACATGGGGCACTCACAGAAGGCAAAGAAGCTGATTGATGCCAACCAAACTCATTAGCAGAAAAGTGGTGGTGAAATGGAAGGGTAGATATCAATATTTATCAACTTGATAACTTTCCTGAGTGGAGGCCACAGTTAAGGTTATAACCAATGGCTGTGGTCCAGTACCATGAGGCAGATGAGGATAGATTTTTTAAAAAGAAAGAAATTGCTGTTAGAAAACCCTCAAGATAGAAGTGGCAGACAGTACCCCAAAAGAGAAAATGTAAAGGGAAAAGCTTAAAAAATACTAACAGAAGAAAGAGCAAAGTCTACATGGAAAAAAGAGGCAAAATGAAAGAAAAATGGTAATTGAACCCCCATGCTTTCAGACACACTGAAGTATGAAAAACAAAGAAAATGGTAGATGGGAAATACATGCAGGAATATAGCCCTTGTCAGTGATGTATACAGTGGCAAGACAGATTGTTGTGCTCGGGGACAAAATAGAGAATCGGCACTGCAGAATAAATACATTCAAAAAGTTGAGGAGAGGGGACAAAAAAAAAATGGTAAATGGAACCCAAGAAGCAAATGGATTCATTTACGATATAATTTTTCAACACGTTTGATGTGTCATTACAAGAAGGATGGGGGAAAGGTGGAGACTCTTAAAGCAAAGAATGAAGGCTAGCATCGCACCCTTGTGAAGGACAAATTTCTGTACCAGCTGCTGCTGTGTCACCCATGAAAACCTCAGGTTAGCCGGGGCAGGAGGGTCTGCAAAAGCCAGCCTGCTCCACATGCAGTGACTGAGAGCCCAGGCTGAGGCTGGACCTCAGATTCCATCTCAGTGCCGCAGTGCCCCCTTCTCCACCCACAGCTGCTTCTCTGGCTTCTGCCTGTGCCCCACACATGCTCTACCCCAGACATTTTCCACCCTCAAATTTCTGGTAGCTTTCCTAACCTAATGTTTGCCTTGGCCATCCTGCTGGGCAAGGCCTGGAAATGCTAGACTAGAGTATAATCCAGAGGAGGAAGGAAGATACAGCAAAGAATTAAGAAGAAGTTTTATTGTTTTGTTGTGTTTTGGTTATTGTCAGTAGACTAAATATCCTGCTCAGAAACCTGGCTTTTTCTGGAAGATGAGCTACTGAGTTATTCCAAGCCATTAAGTGAAATCGCTCCTGGGTGATTGATTTTAGGTGACTAACACCATTTTAGAATGCTCCTGGGAAAAACTTTAGATGACACTGACTATGAAATGGAACAATTAGAATTTGGACAAAGCAAATAGAAATAGGTTTGACTTTATCTAGAATGTTCTACTCCTTAAGGAGTGAGTATGGGGAGACATGTGTGTGAGAGACAAGACATCTTTCTTAAGTTTTATGCAGAAAAGTGAAGAGCAAGAACATGTGCAGCCAGTCTGATACTGTGTCAGGAACCCAGTTATCCTTTCCAGGATGCCCTGCACTCACTTTTGGTTCCTAGAGACAACCCTTGAGGCAAAGCAAATGGTTTATCTGAGAGGCAATCCTAAATGCCTCGGAAAAAGTGAATTAAGATAAGGAAAGGCAGGCAGCATGTGTAAAGTATGTTCTGAAGCCACTGGCCATGCTGGGCCACTGAAAGAGGCTGAGAAACACCCTGGGAGCCCGTCCAGGTGCCTGCAAGCCTCACAGTTGGCTTCTCCTAGGGAAAAAGAGCCGAGGCATTTCCACACCTATTCTCATCAGTCATTGTGTAGGGACTGCTTGGCCTGCAGTGCAAGTGGGCTGAGGGCTCTGAGGCCAGAGAAAGCACTCAGGCAGAGACACACAGATGCTGCAGGTGGAAGCCGGCCAATGTGTATTGGAGAGGAGCCCGGGGTAGATGAGGCAAGAAGCACATGCAAAATGTGAAGGGAACAGGGGACAGGGGTCAGTGTCAATACACTGTGACTTCTGAAAATTCTGTGCAGCACGAGAGGAGGTAAAGGCCCAGGTGTTGGGGCCGACAGGTGAAATCAGAAGCCCAAAGCTGTCCACTTTCCTGCATAACTGTCTTGTTAGCAGTATTTTCTGTAGTCAGTAGAAGAAAAGACACCTCTGTCCTTAGGTGGCTGTGAAAACAAAAACTCTATTGCAAGTTGCAGGCCCAGCGCAGCGCCTGATGTAGGGGGAGGGCTTCTCGACTAATAGACTCATTACTATTACCAGCAAATTGTTCTAGGAAGTGTTTGGGGAGGTGGGAAGGGGAAGACAGGCCGGACGGGCAGTGGGGGATGTGAGCCGCTTAGGGTTATATTAGTTACTTTAAAAATAACTACCTTGTTATTTTAGATCAAGGGCTTTTAAAGATGTATGCTAAGCTGTCCTACAGGAGCTCTTCCATGGAAACTAATTAAACAATCTAGAATGTGCCATAATGAATGGTTTGCAAGTAAAGACATATACAAGGATGAGCGGGAAAAGATTCTCAGTTAATGAGCTTCCTGATGTTGGCCCCAGCCAGGCTGGGGAAGGAGTTATTCCCAGAAGGGAAGGGCCTCATCTCTTGATGACACCTTTATTCTTTGGCCCATGATGTGTGACTCAGTACACCCACGTGGGATAAAGTTTGTATTATGAGGACAGAGGCAGTTTACCCTCAAAGAGAGGTCTGCTGCCTTGCTGGCTTGTGCAATTAAGGGGTGTGTGTGTGTGTGTGTGTGTGTGTGTGTGTGTGTGTGATGTCAGTCATAGCTGCTGCTTTCAGGCTAGAGGCTTTGCTTATCACTAATGCCTTTCACCAGAATCCAAGGAGGCAGGCTAGGGTCCAGCAGTGGGGATGCAATGCAATGTGTGTCTAGAATGAGCATCCTAATTACTGCATCTCCACGACAGCTAGGAGCAGCACTTACTTTCTTTGAACTGAAGAAAGCACTGTCATATTGAGGGAGGGAAACTAAAAAGTGAAATCAAGATCTGACTCAGAGTTCAAGCTCTTTCCTCTAACTAAGGTCTGATAGGGCTGATGGAAGAGATGGCCCTGGCCCAGTTCCTCTGGCTGAAGGCAGCAGTCTGTGTGCTCTAAATAGGGAGAGCAATTTGGCCCAGCACATGCACGCACAAAACCGCCCTCCCCTCTCCGCCTCCTCTAGGCCCGGCACCTCTCCCCAGACTGCTTTCCTGCAGTACAGGGAGGCTCTCTCAAGGCCCAGAAGATGATGAGAGGAAAAAAATGCCTTTAGCTAGGCAGAGCAGGTCATTTGTCTTTGGGTTCATTTTGTGTTTCTGCATAAATCCTGCATCAGCCTGTTCCTGCTTCCACTTGCCAGTGAGCAGTTTTTAATTATCAGGAAAATGGTATTTAGTGCAATGAATCACCAGACAGTGAACAAGGAATTCGAGTCAGCTGCAGAGTCAGGCACAGCAAAACACTGGGAAATGGAACTCAGAAGACGTTCTCAGATTATGAGTGTGGGGGAAACATTATTAGTGGCAGTAATAATAACATCGGATGCAATATGTCCCTAGAATGCAAGGCACACTACAAAATAATCTATACCATGGTTCACATTGCCATTATTACTATTATTATTATTAGCTATTCATAATATTTCAGAGTTCCATTTTTATTATATATTACATATCTTTGGTAAGGAAATATTATGCATGGAATTAAACTGGTTGTTAGTATATGTCCTGAGAAAGAGAAAAGTACTCAATTGTATGATCTTCTTGTCTACCAATTTCTATTAAAGTTCTAATTTGTGGCTACATTTATGTGTGAGCTCAAAACTCACTCATGCTATGGCTAGATCATAGCCTGGATTGTCTAAAAACCTTATAGGACCAGAGTTCCCAGGGAATCAAGAAATCTTAAAGATTAAGGCTTTAAATATTTAGGTCTGGGGAGAAATGGCTTAGCCACTATGTACAGCCTTCCTGTATCATACAGAGCAGCTCTCGAAGCAGAGGCATGTCATGCCATTGTCTCAGGACCTCCATCAGCATACCGGGTTGCTCCCAAACACGGAAGTGGCTCGGATGCATTGGGGTTCCCAAAGTCATGCATGCAAGATTTCAAAAGTCAGTGATTAAGTCATTCCCAAGCGCCAGGGATTCAGTGAAGAGCAGAAGGACTGGGAAAGGGCCAGTTCTTAACAGTCAGTGATTTGGGGAGACTAAGAGCTGAAGGGAAAACACCGGCTGCTCCTCTAAAGGCCTCTTGTACATTCAGAAAGCACAAAATCATATGACATATGTGGTCAGTGACGACTACCTTCATCCACAAAGCAGCTTCAGGGACACCAGGAAGAGTGAGGTGGCTTCCAGATGGTAGAAGATTTCTAAAATCCCACAGTCTGGCTTCAGAGGAGGATCACCTTACATTTGTTTAAGTCATTATTATGTCTTTGTGTCCCAGCAGGTTTGGACAGTCAAGGGAAAGTGGGGGAAGGTGTACCTCTTTATACTTCATTCTGCATCTAAGGCAAACTTTGTCATCTTTGTGACTCATCTAATTTGATCCAGATATCTAAGCACAAGAAAGGAACTTGTTTAGGGACCTGCATACAAAATCCAGCCTTCCTCCAACCCTCTGCCTCAGCACACTGAGCATCCTTCTGTCTCATTGCTGACCAGGTGTCTGACCAGCTACTGACTGTGCTACTGACTATGGGAGCTACAGAAAACAAGTATCATGAAGTTCTCTGAGTGGTCAAGATGTGAAATAATCCGAGGGTAGTGCTGGATGGCCCTGAGTCAGGTGCCCACA